CAAAAGCACCAAAAGCCCAGTGTCAGCCACAGTGGGGCTTAGCTAGACCAGAGGAACACCTCAGGAACACTGATGCTGTCTTTATTTTACAAGTTTGGCATCCGTTGTGGATTTTTATGTGAATTTTGGGTTTTAAACATGTTGCATTAAGTTGTTATTTATCTCCGTTACTGACATTTTTGGTAGCCCCTTAAGTTTTGGCTTCATCCTGGCAAAAATCATTGCCCAGAGCCTGCCCCAAGTTTCAGCCTGGCCATTGAATTCAGAGGGCAATAATCTTTCACAGTGGGGACCATGGTTTTGCATCATCTGCTTGGCTGTCAGCTTCCCATCACTGTAGCAAGCACCTAAGAACCTCAGCTTGTGAAGAGGAAAGGTTGATTTTGGCTCAGTTTGGAGGCCCAGTCCATGGTTGGCTCCACTGCTTTGGGCCTGTGGTGAAGTGGAACATCATGGCGGGAGCCATGGTGAGGAGAGCTGCTTGCCTCATGGTTGGGAAAATGAAAAAGAGTCAGAGGAAGGAGGTGGGGTCTCTCTTCCTCTTCAAGAATATGTGTACCCCAGTGGCCTAAAGACTTCCCAGTAGGCCCACTCTCAAAGGTGCCATCCCTTCCCTATTGTCCACTCTGGAACCAAGCCTCCAATTTCTGGGTCTTTGGGGACATTTAAGGTCCAAGTTATCGCAATCCAGGCTTGGGTCAAGATCTCCTCATGGCCAGGGATTTAGCTCAGTGGCACCGCACCTGCCTCACAAGTGCAAGGTCCTGAGTTTGTTCCCTTGTACCACAAAAAAAAAAAAGAAAGAAAAAGATCTCCTGTCCTTGTGATCATGCTGCCTGGTCATTGCCATGGTGCCCGTCACTCTGCCTTGGATATCTCTGTTATGGCCATGCCTCCGTGAGAAGGCAGGGCTTGTGACAGAGAACCAGGTCTGCTTGCTCACTGCTGAGATGGGAGCGCTGGTAGTGGGGCCTACTACAAAGTAAGCATTTAGAAAGGGTTCAAGAGCAAACAACAGCTAAAGGCTACTTGGCTCTTGCTACACGCCGATTACCTTGCCTGGTGCAGCTCATGCAGTTCTTGTAGCAACCTGTGAGGCAGGCATCATGCTTGTTCCCATTTTGAACCTGAGTCAGACAGTGGTTCTGTAACTTGCTTAAGGTCACAGGCAGTGGTGAGGCTGGGATTTGAACCTGAGCAGTCTGGCTCTGAAGCAGAGATTTTCAACCTTGGCACACCTGTCATTCTGGGCTAGGTAATTCTTTGTGGTGGGCCACTGTCCTGTGCCTGGAAGGAAGCTTAACCGCATTCTTTATCTCTGCTTACTGGATCCTCTAAATGTGACACCAAAAAATGTCTCCAGATGTCCCCTGAGGCCCACAATTTCCCCGTTGATAATCACTGTTCTAAAGTTTTTATTTGCTATACAAGGCTGCTTTCCCATAATGAATGTTCAATAATAAAAACAGGAGTCCATTGCTTTGCACTAGGCCCTTCCCCTGAGCCCCAACAGGAAAATCTAAAGATCAAAATGGAATCACTCATGCTAAAGTATCACATCACCAAACCCAAACTAAGTTGTTTATCTTACCTTTCAAGAAACCAGGAGAAATGAGAAATAATAGCCAAGTTTCTCATCAGGCTGGTTTCATTTGGTATGATAATAATGTTCTTTCTTTTTTTTTGAGACAGGGTCTTGCTATGTATTCCAGGCTGGCCTTGAACTTGAGACAATCCTCCTGTCTCAGCCTCCTAAATGCTGGGATTATAAGCATGTGCCACCACATCTGGCTAAATTCGTTCTGTTTTAATCCTCAAGCAAACAAGGTAACCTGATGTTAACCAGTCAGGTATTTTTCTATTGTTCTGTCTCCCTGTTTCCCACTTCACAGGGAAAGGAACTTTGAAAGGACCAGTCTGCTTTCTGTTCTTTGTTTCTGCCTTTTGCGGCTCTTCTCTGTCTATAAAAAACATCCTCTAGGGCTGGGGATTTAGCTCAGTGGCACCATGCCTGCCTCAAAAGTGCAGGTCCTGAGTTCAATCCCTGGTACAAAAAAAAAAAAATCCTCTGTTCAACCCAGTAGAATACTTGGTCTGTGTACAGAATGAAGGCTGTCTGATTCTAGAATTGAAAATAAAGCCAATTAGGATCTTTAAATTAGGTTGTTGTGGTCTTATCCTTTGACAGATCAGATGAACTATGTTGAGTTCCCCTCTGGTGGCCTCCATCTTCTTACGCTCCTCCCAAGGATCCCCCAGGCTGCCTGGATGTGCTTTCTGCCTTCCTTCCTGGGACCCAGGATGGTGAGGGAAGGGAGCAGCCAGCTCAGCACAGCCCTGGACCAGCAGCCCCTGGTCCCAGATGACTGGTGTAGCTTTCCATCCTGCAGGACTTCATTTGCACCTCAAAACACACCCTGCTCTCCTGTCTCCATCTATTTATGCTGTGCTGAGTACTTATTTAAAGTGTTTGGGCTAGAAGTGTTTCCAATTTTGGATTTTTTTCCCGAGTTTTGGAAAATCTGTCTGTATAATGAAATTTCTTGAGGATGGGAGCCAAGTCAAAACACAAAACTCATTTATCTTTCACGTATACCGTATCACACTGCTTGAGGGTAATTGTATACACTAGGACTAGTGTGCCTGTGTTTTGACTGTGAGCCGTTTCATGAGGTCAGGTACAGGAATTTCTACTTGTGGGGTCATACTGCCAAACAGAATTTTGAATTTTGGGCTTCAGATTAGACCTGCTCAGCTTGTATTAGCTCCTTTAATTCTACTCCAAGCTGAGATACTACTTTTATGCCTGTTTTTCAAGTGTGGAAACTGACACTCTGAGAAATTAAGTGACGGGCTAGGCTGATCGAGCAGGTAAGTGGTGAGGCTGGTAGGTAAACAGCAGGCTTTCTCTGGAGAGATCCTTTTCTCTCCACTCTATTGCCTCCTCCAGTCCCGCACAAATAGGGAAAAAGTGAAAGCTGCGTGGAGGACAGGAGAGAAGTTCTGGAGCCTTTTGGCTGTGGGTCCCAGGGAAAATGGCCCAGGGAAGCTCCAGCAGCAGGTTGCACCTTGCCCGCGCCTGAGCTGGAGTTCTGGGCCTGTCCTCCTTGGGGGGACAGCGGGGAAGTATCTGAGCCCGGACACCCGTCACAGCTGCCTGCACAGGGGGCAACGCTCAGGCCTTTTGTTCTGAGTCCCTCTGGTCACCTTGAGGCAGTTGTGACACAGGAGGGGGAGGACAGGCAGAATCCCAGGGCATACTTGCCGCTCATTGAAAGCATGGTTTTTGTTTCCTTGGGAGGGTCAGGGACTTGAAAGCCACTCTTGCTATGAATGGCTCTTCACTTTAACCTACAGATGCCCAAGAGGTGACTAAATGAAGAACAAACCTTGACCTTCATTTTGTATTCTTTGTTACTATAAATCCTGAGTCAGATCTCTTCTGGGCACTGCATAGGGTGTGTTGATCATCTGGAAGTGTGTAGAAGCTGGCCAGATGGGTTGGTTGGTCCTGAATTTACAGGATCTCAGCACCCTTCAAGGCTAAGGACACCAAGATAAGAGGTTCACAGGGACACTGGGGACACCAAGCCTCCAGGTACTGCTCCAAATCTGTGATCACCTGGCTCTGAGAAAGGCAGAGTCCACATGAATGGAACCACACAGAGACAGTCTTTTCCTGGGAGTGAGACCACCCCTAAGCCATGGACTCAAGAGCTATGAAGCCTTTGCAGGGGGCTGGTCTGAGCCCCTGTATCGGAGAGCACCCCTCCAGCTATCTAAGCTGTCATCCCTCTAACTTTCCAATTAAAGCTTTTCCTGTAGATTTGTGCTTTCATTTTAATTTCTATTTTTACTAAAGCAAAGACCCGTGCTACCTGGAGACAATCTTTTCTGTCATGCTGGAGGCTCTGGTGGTGGCTCGTGGCATCTCCCTGGCCTGGGCTCGTCCTGGTCCTGGAGGGGTCTCTTCTTTGGGAACCCTTTGCTTTGGGTTTCCTATGGCTTGGTTTCTTCCACTCTACCTTCATCTCTGCTTGACTTGCACACCTGGACATTCACACTTGCATTTCCTGAACAAGCACATTCTTTTAGGCTTCTGGGCTTCACACATGCCAGTTCTTCTGCCTGGCAAATCGCTCTTTTTCACACCACAACTCCCTCACATCTCCATGGAGCTTAATCCAATCCCCCCATCATCCTATCACATTGGCCTCTCTTCCTTGCTATGCCCAAGGCACTTTCTATACCATCTTCAGACAGAGTGGCGGGGTGGCACAAGCCTATAATCCCAGCATTTAGGAGCCTGAGGCAGGAGGATTGCCATGATTTCCAGGCCAGCCTGGGATACATAGTAAGGCCCTGCCTCAAAATCAAAACCAAAACCCAAACCAAAAAATGCTGTCTCTCTTGTCACAGATGAATGGCTACACAGTTGTGTCTCTTCCTGTTGAGAAGAGCCAAACTTACCTCCCCTAGCCTCCCCTGGGCTGCCTTGCTGATGTGTTTGACTCAGAATGTTGTGGAACAGCTTCTCCCCAGGTCTTGTGGGGTGATCATTCAGTGGGACCCCACTGCCACACTGTCAAGCCAGAGTCACAGGGAGAGGCCATGTGGGGACATTTCTGTCAACAACACACCAGCCTCCAGCCATGGGAGGGCACTGTGCTGGCCACCTGGTCCAGATGAGTTTTCAGCAACAGAGCCCAGCTGCTGTGTGACTGTAACCCCAAGAGAGACCCCAGGCAAGGGCTGCCAGCCACGCCCTGGCAGCCCATAGCACTGGAAAGGCAACAACATGGCTTAAGTGATCAAGTTCTGGAGTGATTTGTTTCTGGGGCAACAGGTAAAATGAACAGTCTTTCTTATCAGGCTATTGGTCCCCACAGCAGGGACGGCATCCTCATCACTCCAACTCTGGTCTCAGCCCAGGGGCTGCCACGGAGCAGGTGATCATCAGATATCACCTGGGTGAAGGAATGAAGCCACTCACAGCCCGCTGCTCACCCTGAGATAGAATAGATTTATTAGCAAGAGGTAATCAGGAAACATATGTTTACAAAAGTGGAAATTTCTTTTTTCCAAACAAGCTGTAAGTTGAAATATTTTAGGACTTGAAATAGAATTCTCATACCACTAGGTATTGCTTACAGCAAAAGTTGTCTGTCGGAGTGGAGCATGCCTGCCACTTCTGAGTGGACCTGTGTTCTCTATACTGTACAATGTAAAAAATACATGGTAATATTCACAGAATAAGCACTACAGTACTATATTCCTGCTAGAAGGCGTTTAGACAGGACTACAGTATATGCAATAAAAACACTTGGTTATTGATTTCCTAATTCTACAGTGTGGTACTAATTATCACAAGGTGTACATACTTAGAGCATCTCAATGTAAGCTTGTAGTGACTGTCAGGTGCCTCAAAGAGGAGGAAAAGTGACATGTTTTTGTTCTGACTTCCAGTGAGTGCTGGGCAGCAGCTGGCAAAGGTTGCCATGACTTGGTGTTGTGACTCCATTTTCCTCGGGAAGTTCTGGGACCTGTCCACTCTATGGAGACTGCTTTTCATGCGATCTGGCATGAATTGTACAGCAAGGAGCGACGTGGTACTGGGGTGGCAGCCTCGGCAGAGGACTCCCTTCCAGCCAGCTTACCAGGAGGCAGCTTACTGGGAGACCTGCAATTTTGGCTGAAAAAGCTGCTTTGGAAACTGGCATCGCTGTCAGCAGGAAGAGCTGTCAATGATTGGACTCGAGGGTATGGCTTCCCCCTCCCACCTCCCCCCACCCACCCATTCTAACAGCTACATGGAACATGCTGGGAGGATGCCCAGGGTAGTCACGACCTGGGCACTGGGTAGGGAGGGCAAAGCAGGACTGGAGCCGAAGACTCATGTCGGCACGGGTGCTGCCTCCCTGTGGGTCTGGAGGACAGATTGAGAGGACAGCTGTTCAAAGAAACAGGCACTGCAGGGGGCAGAGTCTGAGACGGTGCAGAAATTCATATTCCGGGTCTACAGGAAATCTAAGAACGAGAACAGATCTGTAGTCTTGGAGAAGCACATAGTGAAGAGGAAAATCCAGAGAAACAAACAAATATGTACACTATCATATAGCACGTGTCCACATGAGCGGCTGGATCTGGTTGGCAGCTTCAGGTGGGGAGTTTGGGTTCTATTCGGAGAGAAGACTCGTAGAGGCTTTCTTCGTCCATCACAAAAGACTGGTCCAATAGATACTGGGTTACCTGAGAAGAGGAGAGCAACAAGGAAGGGAAGGGTTATGGGCCCTAGGTAATGGATGACTATGGACCGGACCTGGGAGTCTCTGGGACCCAGCTCTCATGGAGCGGGGTCAGGATAGCACATGAGGCAAGAAATGCATTCAGTCATGATTTGTCTTAATATAATGTCTTTGCATTATTTAATATTGTCTTAATATTTGTCTGAATATTAATCCTAATACTAAATCAGGCTGGGGTGTGGCTAACTGGTAGAGTATGCATGAGGCTCTGGGTTCCATCCACAATATCACACAGGCACAAAAACGTTATTTAAAAAATTACATATGGATCCGGTGTGGTGGTACATGCCTGTAATCCCAGAACTCTGGGAGGTTTGCAAGTTCAAGCCCAGCCTGAGAAACTTCTCAACTTAGAGAGAACCTGCCTCAAAAATAACTAAAAAGGGGGGTATGTTATAGTTTATACCTAGATATTCCCCAAAAGCCTTATGTGTTAATGGGTGGGGCTTTTGGGAGTGACTGGATCATGGGTGTGATAATTATATTAGCTCACTGATTGTTTTAGCATATTCTGGGTGTGGATAATGGGAAGCCCCCCTCCCCCCGCCCCCGGGTGTGGGTGGCATCAACCAATAGGCTTGTAGTCTGAATGGAATAAAAAGGGGAATGAAGGCTCACTGCTTCCTGCCTACCCTGCCATGGACTATTTCTCTTCTGCTATGCACCTTTCCATGCTGCCCCGTCTTGGAGCCAGCCAACGATGGACTAAAACCTCTACAAACTGTGACCTAAAATAAACTTTTCCTACTTTAATTTGTGGGTGTTGGGTATTTTGTTCCAACAATGAGAAAGAAACTAAGACAGGGAAGCTGGGGCTGTAGATCAGTGCAAAGGCCCTGGGTTCAATCTTCAGTACTGCAAAACAAAATAATAACCAGAAAAATCATATACAGTCAAAATTACCCTTGATCTTTCTTTGGTTCGTCCCTTGATGAAGTGTTCTGAGCTTATATTAAAAAAAATCTGGGGCTGGGGATTTAGCTCAGTGGTTCCACCACCTGCCTTGCAAGTGCAAGGTCCTGAGTTCAATCCCTGATACAAAAAAAAAATCTGTGGGCTGATGGTGTTGCTCAGTGGCAGAGCATTTTCCTAGCATACGTGAAGTCCTGGATTCAATGCTAAGAACTGCCTTTAAAAAACTCTTAAAGTTCAGGGGCTGGGAATTTAGTTCAGTAGTGTCAATGCCTGCCCCGAGTTCGATCCCTGGTACCAAAAAAAAAAAAATCTTAAAGTTCAATTGTTGAATCTAAGTGGGAGGTGGATGAGTATTCCCAATTCTTTCTATGGTTCTGTTTAAAAAGTGTCCTAATAAAATGTTGGGACAAAAATGTATATAAACATTAGGATGCTATAGTATCACGTGATTTTCATGCACTAAGAGGTAAGGGAGAAACTGAGGTCCTGAGGAAGAGCCTCAGGGGCAAAATGTTAGAGTGGACCATCAGGACAGCTCATCCTCAGGAATTAGGTTCTTCTCTTTCCTCTTTTCTCCCCACCCACTCTTGTTCTCAAGCCCTTGGCCAAATTCCACACAAAATGTGCCATGAGAGTTCTGAGTGTGAATCTCACAGGCGGCCCCATCTCTAGAGTCTTTCCAAGGCTTACTGTCAGTCCTTTGGAACCAAACACCCTCACCCTAAACCCAGAGTAGAAAGGAAACAATTATATTTATTATGTGTTTGAGAATCTTCTGATAGTTACTTGAGAAAAATCAAGTCTGTGTTGCCCCTTTTAAAAAAATTTTAATGTTTGGGTACTGAGGATCAAACCCAGGGCCTTCATAATGAGCTACATCCTTAGCCTTAAAAAAATTATTTTTGAGACAGGGCCTCACTAAGTTGCTCAGACTGGGCTTGAACTTTCAATCCTCCTGCCTCAGCCTCCCAGAGTTTGAAGATCACAGGCATGTACCACCATGCCTGGTTCTGGGTTTTTGTCTTGGCTAATTGATTCTGTCTGCCTCTGTGAAGTTCAAATCCAGCAGTGTAGTATACTAATTAGTAATAGTCACTGAGGAGATGATGATGATTTTTTTTGTAGTACCGGGAATCGAACCGAGGACCTTGTGAGTGCTGAGCAAATGCTCTGTCACTGAGCTACAGTTTTACCCTGGAATGACTCTTATTGTCTGATTACTAGCTCACACCAGCACCTCTAGCAAAATGACTTTGAGTGTCACAGGGTGGCTCAATTCACACTGATGACAGAGACACAGCACGTTGTGACCTTGTGACACAGGCTGGTCTTTTAGCCCTTGCTAGTGCCTCTATGTCCTTTCTGGAACACACAGTTCTCTGGACTCTCAAACTCTCTGGGGATCAGCAGACTTATTGGTTTTCTCTACAATGAGTATGCTCAAGACCAGTTTCCCTAAGATAGTCTCCTTTAGCGGGAGGCTGACAGCAAACATCACTTCTGTAAAGCCGTTGAAGAAAGATGCTTGACAAGCAGAAATATTTATTTGTATTGGACATCAGAGCTTGGGAGAAAGGTTTCAAAGGTGGCAGGAGACAGAAAAGATGCTGACCTTTTTTTTGGTAACTTCTGAGATTTTGCAGGGCACTGGGACCCTAGTGACCCCAGACATAGCCCCATGTGGGCCCCATGGCTGGTACTTCTGTGGCTTTCAGGCTGGGCAAACTGCAGTCCCCAAACACTGCCCAATTAAATGGACAGTTTTGTCTTGGTATGGTTTTTTATTATAGAAGAAAGGATGTGATGTTCAATAAATATTTGGAGGAAAGAAGCCCATAATTCTATCAGTATAAAACAACCATTTTCATTTTTGTATGGCCTTCTAGTTCCTACAACATACAATTACTTTTTCACGTAACAGTGAGTGGATGGCATCTGGTACCCCATCACCTACACTATAATGAAAAATTTCTGTTGTACCGCATCGTTTTTCTGTACTAGATTTTACCAAACCCATACCCTATTTTTGGATATGTCAGTTGTTTCCAGGTTTTTTTGTATTTTATATATAAAGTGCTACAATGCATATCTTCTATGATACAGCTTCAGTTGCTTCAACTACATGTTTTGTTTACAGCATAAATCCCCACGCTGTGGTCTGGATATTGTTTGAGTGTGTTTCCCAAGGGCTCCCGTGTTGGAAGCTTGGTCCCCAGGAGGTAACGTTAAGAGGTTAGAGACTGACTCCTCCTGTCTGTCTTCTGTCTGAAGAATGCTCCACCCTGGTGATGCTACCTGCCAGGAGGCCCTCACGGGCCCAGCAGGTGCTGGTGCCATAGCTGAAACCTTGAGAACAGTGAGCTAAAAAACCTTGTTTCTTTATAAAGTACCAGGCCTCAGGTATTTTGTAGTAGTAAAGGAATCAGAACAATACACTGTAGGAACAGGAATACTGGGGTTCTTATTACAGGTTAACATGTTTCTTTCTAAAGAGTGTTTGGCAGCGCCAATGCTGTCAGGATGCTGGGCTTTCAGCCCTGATCCTCATTTTATTTAAGTTACAGACTGTAAACGTCATCCTTTCTGGTGAATCTGACTTTGACGCATGCTGAAGATTGAGACCCATGGCCTTTAAACACCTGCCCTTGCCCCACAGGCCTTTCCCCCAAAGTCTGCTTCTTTTGCCCAGTGATAGCTACATCAGACCCCCCTCATCAGCTCACCCCAGGGTTCTCATCCCTCAGGGGCTCATGTCTTGTTGCAAGGCTTTTATAGAGTACTTTTGACAAAGGTGTCACACTTAATTACCACAATGACCTGTCCTAGCTTGGTATAAAAACTTTTTTGTTGTTGTTTTGTGTTTTGGTACCAGGGATCGAACACAGGACATTGTGGTTGTGAGGCAGGCAAGGTGCCACTGTGCTAAATCCCCATTGGTAGAAGAACTTTTAGCAGGCAAGGCAGGTAAGAGCTTTGCAGAATGTATTCAGCTGTGAGTGGCACTGGTGGGCTTTGAGCCTAGGTGTTCCCTGGTAGACTGAGTAGCTCTTGGTTCAATCCACAGTGCTACACACACACACACACACACACACACACAATATGTATATATAAAACTATAAGTTCACCTATTTCTTTTTTTTTCTGAGACAGGATCTCACTATGTAGCCCAGGCTGACCTTGAACTCATGGCAATCCTCCTGCCTCAGGCTCCAGAGTGCTGAGATTACAGACATGTGCCACCACGCCTGTCACTGCTGTGCTACAGGGCCTAACTAGTGCCAGATGTGTAGCACTTGCTCAGTAAATATTTGCTTATTGAATAAAGAGCAACACAAACTGGCCCAGTTAATTACCCACTACCTTTTCTTTTCTAGTCAGCTGAAAAGAGGTCAGGAGTTCACAAGGAAGAAAATAAACAAATTCTTTTTCTTTTTTTCCTCCCAATATTGGGGATTGAACCCAGGGCCTTGCACATGGTAGGCAGTTGCTCTCCACTGAGCTATATTCCCAGTCCTTTATAAACTTTATTTTGAGACAGGGCCCCACTAAGTTGCCCAGACTGGTCTCAAACTTGTGATTGCCCTGACTCAGCCTCCTGAGTAGCTGGGATTGCAGGCATGCACTACTATGTCCAGCTCAACACACTGATCACAAAAGAAAGTAGAAAGGCAAATGATAAAAGCTGGATTTTCTGGTGTTCTTGTGGCTGTGTCTGGCACTTGGTTTTTGTTAACTGTGAATAAGGTGAGGATGCTTGAGAGAGACCAAATGGGTGACTGGGCAGGGTGAGGTCCTAGGCCTGAGAGCCCAGGAGGTCTGATTAGCAAATCTCAGTTGTTTGTGTGTAAAATGAAGTGATCAACTCAAGGCTTGAATGATGAAATGAGACCGACCTGCCAACCGTTTTTTATAGGGTCCTGAAATCCTTTAAAATGTAAGTTAGTCCAATTATACAGCTTTCTCTCAGGGGTCCCACTGTCCCAGGGACCACACTGCAGATCCTTCCAGGAGCCCAGGAGCCCTGTCGAGTTCAGCAGGGACTAACGCTGTCCTCCGAGGCTATGGGGCCCTCCCACTGCACATGGCCTGCCTCGCCAGGAAGTGAAGCTCCCTGGGCAAGGCGCCACCTCAGGACCGCACGCCCCTGCCTCCCTCTCTCCTTCCAGATGCGGAGCCTCAGGTCACCAGCTCTCAGCCCCTGAATGAGCCTTCCCACCTCCATCTGCTCTGAGTTACTTGCTTCCAGTGCACAGAACCTCAACTCAGGGGTCACTGTGGTGAGAGCTGAGGAAGTTTTAACCCAACCTCTGCTCCTTGCTCCTCAGCCCATAAATACCCCCAAATCCCACCCTCCAGGAGGCGGACTTGAGGCTTGTTTTTCTGTTTCCACATGTTTGGCTGCCTCACGAAGAATCTGCTTGTCTTTTGCAAAACTCCTGGTTGTGGTGACTGGAAGTGCACAGCAGCAAAGCCTGCTTGGGGACATAGGTGTTTCTCTGGGCCTTGTCCGCGACAGCAAGAGACTCAAACAAGTGGGACATCCATCAGCATAGAGGAGGCTATGTGAGTGGATTTCTCTGCAGCCACAGAGACACGAGGGTGCACCTGTCTCAGCCCAGACTGATCCCTGAGGTGTATTATCAGTAAGAAGAAAAAGAACAATGCTGAGCAGTACGTAGCAGATTACACTACAGTATACAAAGTACAGGGCCGGGGATTTAGCTCAGTGGTTCTGGTGCCTGCCTCACAAGCACAAGGTCCTGAGTTTGAGCCCTGGTACCAAAAAAAAAAAAAAAAAGTTCACTTGTGTTTATGGACTGCTTGTGGACATAGACCCAAGCAATTGGGGATGCTGTGGCCTTTGGGAGGGACCAGTGTGAGTTTTGTGACTTGTGAACATAGTACTTTTCAAAAAGGCATATTTAGGGCCCAGGATATAGTTCAGTGGCATAGCGCCTGCCTGGCAAGCTCAAGGCCCTGAGTTCGATTCCTGATACAAAAACAAAAACAAAAGACATGTTTAGACCCTGCCTCTCTTGCCTTGGGAGCTTGGACCTGGTTATAAACCAGATGTCAAAGCTAAGCACAGGCCTGACATGAATAAGGCACAGCTCATTTCTGACCAGGGGACAGGGAATGGGGAAGGTATCCCTATAGGGAGGGCATCTGAGTTGGGCCTATGAGGGTTCAGGAAGGGAAAGTGTGCAGGTGAGGAAGGAAATGGCTGACAAGAGCCTTGCATGAACCCGGGGCCGGGCAGGTGCTGCCAGCTTACCTTTGCTTGGTGCTCGATTTTGTAGGCAGTTTGTTGGAACTGGCGAATCTCTCGGATAATGTGGGATATCTGTGGGAAGGCAGGGAGTTTTAGAAGACTATGCTTGCTCAGTGCCATCTCACTTTGTATGAACAAAGGGCCCTGGGACTGAACCTCGTGCTGAGCTACTCCTTTTCATTTTTTATTTTGAGACAGAGTCTTGCTAAATTGGCAAAGTTGGGCTCAAATTTGTGATCCTCTCATTCCAGCCTCCCAGAAGGCTTGGATTACAGGTGTATGCCTGCCACCAAAGTCAGCAGGGGTTTCCTGAAGCTGGCAACCTGCTTCCAAGGGTGATACTTCTTAAGCGTCCATGAGCTAATTATGATAATTCGATTGAGAGAGGAAACTAAGCCCCTCCTTCAAATCAGTGGCTCAAATGACGCCACAGTGAGAAACAGAACCCGCGACTCCAGCAAGGGATAAAGGCACCGAGGTGCCCACTGGGCACGAGATGTGATGTGGAAGTGCTCCAGCCCTGTCACTCGACAGAGAAACACTAACATGGAGGCCCATTGTACAAAACTGGTGAAAGCAGGGGCTCTGGTTGGAGCAGGGAGAAGCTGATGGTCTCCTCAGGCTCCTCCTAGGTCCTACGTTCTGGGGAAAGTTTGAAGCGTGCTGCCTAAGTGCATGCTGCAACGGTTTCCATGAGCAACGTGGAAGGGGTGTGGGTGGTGGCATCTGCTCCACCCTCTACTTGTGGGGCGAACTTGGCCCTGTCCCTCGACCTCGAAAGCTTCAGTTTGCCCTCTGTAAGGTGGGGAGCAGGGGGGTCCTGCCTCTCAGACTGTCAGATTAAAGGGGCAACATGGGGTTGAGGCCTGGCACCCGCCTGACACCTGGCTCTTACTGGGGCTGCTGACTCAGTCCAGCACCAAAGTACCTGAGGGTTTTTGCACTGAAGCACCTGGCTGGGTTTTGAGGTTCCTGCCCTCCCCTGGAAACATACCATCCTCATCTTGGAGAAGTTGACCAGGCCGTCCTCCGTGTAGTTCGGGGTCCCCTCCTCAATGAAGGCCAGATCGGTGAGGTACATCCCCAGGTAAGGGACACAGGGTGGGTCACAGCTTGGAAGCAAATGGCATTCACAGAATTTTTTCACTTAAAAAAGGAATTGTGCCAAGAACAGGACACCCTGCATACATGTTTTCCTTGGCTAGAGGCAGAGGGGTTTCTATTTGCCAGGAAAAAAAGCAAAGCTTGGCCCTCAGCCGCCAGCTGAGGTCTGTCCCTTGGTGTGGGGTGACAAGGGGCTGTCTGGGGCCTGAGCCAAACGTCTCTCCCCTCCTTGAGCCACAGACCCCCACCACCTCTGCCCTCTGTCACCAGCCACTCCACCCAGTGCCCCCCATGCACCCTGCAGCCCTGCCCCCAGGGCCCACCGGCCCCTTTCTGCAGAACAGCATCCCTGGCCCTCCCTCCCCAGCCAGGGACCACAGGGAAACACTGGCCCTCGGAGATAATTTCCTGGGAGTCACCTGGATAATGACGGGGTGGGGGCTTTGCACTATATTTTCAGGAGATGGGAGCCTGGTGTGATGGCCAGACCTGGGGCTGGCAGGGGCTGTGACAGGGTCCGCGGGCACTGCACTCTGGGATGGACTCACTCCCCTTGCTCCTTCTAGGGGCTCCTCACACAGTGCTCCACTCCTTTCCAGCCACCTCACTTGTCTCCTTGGGGCATCTAGACAATCCTGCCATACTGGCAGAAGGCAAGGCAGGGAGGATGGCAGATCAAGAACAGAAATCTGGCCCTGTCCCTCATCTGCTTGCTGTGTGACCCTGAGCCAGGGCTGGGCTCCTCTGAGCTTAGGCTCCTTGTGTGCACAGCATAAATGGCAGCAAAAACAGTCTGAGGTGGTCTGGGAGCTGATTTCAGAGGTGCACAGACACTGTCTTACTTTCTTTCTTTTTGGTACCGGGGATCGAACTCGGGACCTTGCACTTGCACGGCAGGTGCTGGAACCACTGAGCTAAACCCCTGGCAGCACTGTCTTAACAGTGATTCACACACTAAAAAGCCTGGATTTTTGGCTGTCCCCTTGCTCCCAGAGGAGCCGTGTTTGGTGCGAGTGTGGCTGTGACACTTCCAACACTCAGCATCTCCTCCCCTCACTGTTTTTTCCTTTTTAAGCAAACACCAACAGGTCCTGGTGTCTGAGCTGACAAGCATTAATATCCAGATAGAATTTAATAACACTGCTTTCTTTTTATGATATATTTTTTTCATGGTAACCTTGGAGTTACATAAGTGTGCTGGCTTTGCCATGTATCTCCGTGATATAAAACTTACTTATTTAAATGTTTGCGAAGGAAGAAGTGTTAATTTAAAGAAGACTGTTAAAGCCCAGTGCAGCTGGCACAGGGTTAGGGAAGTTGTGATGGGGTGGGCACTGGGTGTTGGGGACATGGTGACAGAGGGTTTTCTAACTGTGCCTTGGCTCTTTTGTGATTGTAAGAATCAATTTAGAAGGTGTAGGCCAGATTAAAAAGTGGAACAGAGGGGCCGGGGATTTAGCTCAGTGGTTTCACCGCCTGCTGCACAAGCGCAAAGACCCGAGTTCGATCCCCGGTAGCAAAAAAAAAAAAAAAAGTGGAACAGAGTGGGAAATACTTGAGTTCACTGCATGGAATAAAGGCAGATGTTTGTGAAACCTTTGTTCTTATTATGCATATATGTATTTGCACACCAGACTGTGATTTCAAATTACATACACATGCGTACACTGCAGTGCTGGGGATTGAACCCAGGGACTCCTGCATGCTAGACAAGTGTCTACCATTGAGCTATACCCACTCAGCCCACATATTTATAATACAGTTTTGAATATATACAGCTGTGGTTTGGGATAGAATAGACATAAGGCTGGGGTGGGGACACAGCTCAGAGCTGGAGCACTTGCCTGGCATACATGAGACCCCAGTTCTGTCCCTAGAGGGTGTCAGTCTCCTTCGGGCATGGAAGAGCCGCCTGGGTCTCTCTGCCCTTCTCATAGACAGCTGTTACTGGGCAGTCTTTCATCTCCTTCTATCAGACTAGGGTCTGAGGCCCAGGCTCATGGCCCTGATGGAGAAATAAGCCAAAGATCTCAACAGTGGGTGTGGTATTGGAAGGCTGTGGCAGTCTGCTGACGGCCAGGTTCTCTGGGTGCTCTCGGCCTTCACTGGTCCCGCCACCTGCCTCCCCACCTGTCCTCCCTTGCCCATCCCCCATCACCTTTTCCCAAGCACCTGTCCCTGCCCCCAGTCGCCGTCTCCCTCACATGTTCTGGCTGCCCTCGTTCCCCTTCACCTGTACTGACCCTTACCCGCCCCTCCCTCCCGTCCTCTTCCTCCTCGTCTGTGCCCTCCATTTTATCTCACCCACTCTCCCTTACTTGTCCCTCTATTGATCCCTCCTTACCCATTTCCCTTCACCCATCACCCTGACCTGCTCCCCTCACCTGTTCCCACCCGTCCCCTTGACCTGTCCCCAGCCACATGAGAGGGCAGCCAGGTAATCTTGGGGAGGAGTGGCTGGAGATTCAGAGAGCCCCTAGCCCTAAGCGGGACTCCATGGTCCCGCGGCTGGAAAGTGATAGGCAGTCCAGTTACTTGCAGGTGATGCCAGCAGCCCCATCAAACTGTCCCCACCTAGCACCTCCTGGGAGGGCCTAGAAGGAAGGCACTGCAGCACTCTTAATCAGCAGCTTTTCTCTCCCTCACACACGCCCAGAGCCCCGAGGGGACTGAGGATGGCCTGGGGGCCCCACAGATGCCCTGCCTGGGGCCCAAGCACTGCTGAACATCAGACTGAGAGGGGGCACACGGTACACTGGGCTCCTTCCTTGTGGGTGCCATGGCCTCTTCCAGGTGGGAGCTGGCCTTGCCCTAGGCTTCAGCTCATCCAAATAGCTCACATATGGCGACAGAGCCGCTGCCTGTCTGCACAGGTGCAGAGTCCCAAGGGCCTCGGCTGTGTGGGCTGAGTGCAGCTGGCACACAGACCCAAGGTTCTGGCATGTGCTGTGGTTGACTGGGTACTGGGAAAAGAGAAAATCATCACAGGGTGGGGTACAGGGTCTCGTCTTGTTTTCTGTCACCTAGATACCAGCTGCTGTGTCATGTCACAGGCAGAAAATGAGGGTAGAAACAGGCGCTTGGCCTCTAGGAGGCTGGGGATTCTGGAACTCTGGATGGCAGCCTTGGGCTCATCGTGTCTGCGGAGGTCCACAGGTCTCCACCCCATTCACTAGTGCTGGGGTGGCCTGGCAAGCAGCTGCTGTCAGGGTCCGCCAGAGACACCCCTGCCCTAGATTCAGGGGAACAGACTAGGACAGAAACCTGTCCCGTGTGCCTCTGAATCAAGGATTTCTCACTCGAATTCAAGACAAAAAGTCCAGATATGTCAGTGTGCTGGGCTGGGCTGAGACAGGGCAGGCAAATGGAGTTGGCCCTAAAAGAATTGCTCAACTTAGTTCTTGGCTGCATTTTTGTACATGGAGATGTGGGGAGGCTCTGGTCAGTGAGAGGGTGGCAGGAGGGGCCGAGGGGCAGGCAGGGTCACTTTTGGGTTCCCAAGCAGGGCACTGAAGGGGTGAGCACAGCCAGGAGTATTGGTGGGCCGAGGTACATCCGAGAGTGTGGCTGGGAGGCTGGGATGTGGCATTTGAGGGTGGGGTCTTAGCCAGCAAAGGCAGCAAACCTTCTGCTGCCAGGTTCTGGCTTTTTTTTTTTTGGTACCGGGGATGGAACGCAGAACCCTGTGCTTGTGAGGCAGGCAGTGGAACCACTGAGCTAAATCCCTGGCCCTGAGGCTGCAGATTTTAATCACAGGCTGAAAATGATTTCCAGGGAAATATGAATGGGGTTGCAAGCCCCACAGGGAGGCTGGTGTGGGCTGCTTGTCTGAACAGGTCACCCGCTGTGCCTGCAGACTTCTATCTCACTCCTGCATTGTCCCCTGCCTCAGTGATACAGATACCCAGGACTTCTGTGACCCTACTCTGTATGAAACCTTAGCTCCTTTGGCTGACCCTACTTATTCAGGAGGGCGGCCTGGCTGGCCTAAAGGTCCTAACTCCCAGACCCCGCAGAGGCCACCTCTGCCCCTGCTGCCAGCAGCAGGGGGGCCAGGGGACCCTTACACAGGCCCACAAGAACCTGAAAGAAGGAAGAATCAGGAGGAGATGCAGACAGAAGGGGGCCACGAGGCAGTGTAGACAGCGGTGTGCTGCTGTGCGGACGAGGAAGCATATGAAGGAGGCAGATGGGGCAGCACCAGGGCAGACAGACAAACTGGAGAATGCACAGTAGGGCTGCTCCCACAAGCACAGTCCACAGGGGCTTCGCGGAGCCCTGGCAGAGGAAAGATGGCCAGACAGCACAGATGTGGCAACATCTGTCTGAGGACACAAAGTGCAGATGGCCAAGGCAATGGCACACAGAGATGGGGAGGGTGGCCGAGAACGGCAGGAGGACACAAGAGGGGGCAATGGGCTGATGGTTTGGGCTGCAGAGCGTCCAAGCTGTTGTCAAGGGCCGGAAGCTTTGTCTGTCTGGTGCCCAGGTGCCAGGCAGTGACCCCAGTGCGTGCCTCATGGGAGAGAAAGGGGATTCCTCAGGACCCGGTACCCCTGGAGGATCCCAGGGTCTCTCCAAGGTGAGTGGCCACTCAGGCAAGAAGAAAAAGGGATGCCACAGGAGTCAACAAAAGAAGCTGGAGGAGAGGGAAGGTTGATAATGGCAAAGCCCACAGTTCACACGGGGGCGAGGCCACAGGGCATGCAGAGCGGCTGAGCCGCTGCTTTCCAGAGAGGCTGCTATCCATGGCAGACCTCACAGCACTGGCCTTGCAGCAGGCCTGGGCACAGTTTGGGCTCTGGTGCTGTGGTCATGTGTCCTTGGCACAGCCACTCGCTCTTCAGCTTTGGTCTGGGAAAACAGGACCGGGGGAGTGGGCTTGGAGTCCTCCAGAGGGCAGTTCTGGCTGTCTGGTAACGTTTTTGGATGTACCCGGAGGGTACCTTTAGCATCTGGGGGCAGACGCCAGGGATGCTGCTAAGAGCCCCACTGTGCACAAGGCAGCCTCCCACAGCAAAGAACTATACTGGTCAAAGTGCCCAGAACACCCTGGCTGGGAGACCTATCTCACCAGTCGTGTGGATGGGCTACGTGTGCAATGGCCAGGGAAGTGCTTTGCAGACTATAAGGCCTGATTAACTCAAAATTACATTTCTTTCATTCCAAGATGGTGCTGTCTCTATATACCCTCTGAGTTTTGTTTTTTGTTTTTGGTACTGGAGATCGAACTTGGGACTTGGCGCTTTCAAGGCGGGCGCCAGAACTACTGAGCTAAATCCCTGGCTCATTCCCCTGGTTTTTTGATGACTAATTCTCAGGTGAAAAAGGAAACACAACCACCTTAAATAAATATACTGAGTTGAACACATAAGCTGATTCAGAATTACTAAAATACAAAAAAGTACTGTTGAAAGCTACAGCTGCTATGACCATGAGGATTCCTGTGCCCCTCCTGTGCTGCTCCTGGGAAGTGCTACCAGCCCTGGAGATGGTGGAGGGAAAGCTGACCCAGCATGGGGGCCAGGGAGTTAGGGGTCTTGTGGTAGACAGGGGACAGGCAGACAGACAGACATCCTGCCCTGGCTGTGTGACTTGGCCAGGCCTCTGCGAAGCAGGTCTGTACTTTTAAACATAACAGTGACAAAATGACACATGACTTACTTTTTCAGAGCTTCTCTGAGATTCTTAAATCTGCCCTCTGATGACACAAGCTTTTGCAGCTTATCAATCAAGGCTTTTGTCTAGAAGGAATTAGAAGCATTTGACACACGGCATGTGTCAAGGCCCACGGCCCCACTCCAGCATGCTGCCATATTTGCCTTGTATCTGCCAACTTCACCCCCAGCCTCCTCAGGAGTCAGGCTTGGGTCCTCATTTCCTGTCTGGGCTTGTGTACATCACTCGGAACACAGAAGCCGGTGTGGTTTCTGAGTGTGCATGGGACATGAGGCAGTCTGTGTCAGAAGGCCTTGGTGAGTGACCCCAAGGAGCCTGCATCCAGACCATGACTGGGATCTTTTCATGAGCTGTACCCATCTCCTCACAGCTGCACTTCACTGTACCAGGAACAATCACCCAAAATTAAGAACCAAGAGAAAAGATGGAGGATGGACTGGTCACAAGGAGAAAAGCCTCCAGTAGAGAATCCCTTGGTGAGAGTTTGCCCAATGCTAAGCCCACACATTGGCTGGTGCAGGATCCTTGAGGCTGGAGTCTTGCTGAAGAGGTCAGGTGTGATCCATAGAGTGTGTTTCCTTGGGTTAGGCTTCGAGCTCCTCTCCCAAGGAGGCCCAGGAAAATCTCTTCACCTCTAGGGTCCTTAGCAGCCTCATTTATAAAAGGTAAGATGGATCAGTGCTTCATCTCCATGACTGGTCTCCAAAATCCAGAATGTGGCTGAGAAACTATGCTCAAGGTGGCTTTGTGCCATATGACCAGGAGTGCTAATCGTCCTGGAGGAGACATGGGCCCAGGGGCCAAGAGTTGCTCAGTTGTGGCCAGCCATGGAGGCACCCTCTTGTAATCCTAGCACTCTGGGAAGCTGAGGCAGGAGGACCGCAAGTTTGATCCTAGTCTGCTCAACTTAGTGATTTAGCAAGACCCTGTCTCAAAATAAATAAAAGGCTAAAAAAAACCAATGTGCACAATCTTTGGATCAGATTTTGTCTGAGAACTCTGCCAAAGAAAATGACAACCAAAGTCTCCATGTTGATGGAAGAAAAGATCAATGTGCACCCTTTGAGGGGAAAGAAGGGCAGAGCAGCTGTGTGGCTCCACACTTTGCCTCCCAAGACAAGTATCAGCCAGAGCCTCCCCTCCTTGCTGTTGTCCACCCACATGCAAAGGAGTGATCAGAGACGGCTCTGCAGGCTTTGTCAACCCCTAGGGATGCCCAAAGGCAAATCGCCACTCTGCTCCCCTCCATGGGCCCCAGTGTGCCGCCCTGAAAAATGGAGGGCAGTCTAGGTGTTCCCCAGGGGCAATACTAGTTCAGACATTGTAGACTTTGGGGAGACAGAGGCTAGATCAGGAGCTCCTCAGAGCTCTGGGTGAAGTGTCATCAAGCTCTGAGGCCATGAAAATGTGCAGAAGCCATTCTGATGTGGGGCTTTCCTGTACACATCAGGGATCAGCTATACCTCTGAGAGCACATTTTGATTCCTTCTGCATCTCTGAGCTCGCTGTGTTGTCTGCTTCTCCTAGGCTGTCACATTCTGTCGAAGAACGAGTTATATGGCCTAGGAAGGCACAGTGTTTTCCCTGGTGCTCTCAACAAGTGTGCTCCAACTTGAAGCAGCTCACGTGTCTCTGGCTGAGCCAGCAGCTTCCACCCTTCAATGCTTCCCAGAACCAGGCTCTTGGGCAACTTTGGTAAGTGGAGTGCTAGAGGGGAGAAGGGGACCAGGGCTTGATATGTGACTGAAACAGGGACTAAGCAAAGAGGCTGCCTTGGGGACAGGAAGACAGTTTATGACAGCCCCTCCTATTCGTTGAATGGAAGCCTTCTAGTGGCCAAGAGTGTTTCCTCCTCAAGAGGAATGAATTTGAAGAAAAGCTTTTGTCCCTACTAAAATACAACCATCCCCAGGAAGTGGGGAGAGGAAACACACAAAGCCCCGTCACTCACTGGTGCCGTCCTATGACGAAGCATCCGATCCTTTCCTGAGGGAGAGTGACAGTTTACAAAGAGGATGGGGACAGGAATGAAAGAAGAAGGAATGAACAGTCCCAAACTGCACTTGACTGCTCAATTCACGTCCAGGACTGGACTGGACTTGGGGTAATACTTTTTTTGTGTTGGGCCAGCACATTTAAGGGAGTGACAAGAACAAGATGCAGAGGCTGTACTTCTGGCACCCTACAGAATGCGGCGATTTGGTAGGTCAATAACAACTCTACAGACACACCATCACATGAGCAGAAGAGCTGGAGAAGTTGGCTGGGTCTATTCTGAGAGGGTGGAGGGCAGTGGGCCGGGGCAGCTGGCCCCAGGTCCTGGACAGCATCCTGCAGTGCAGGCCAGGCACGTGCACTGCCTAACTGCCCTCTGTCTGTAGTCTTGAAAGAGAACGGAAGATTTCAGAAAGGCCAATTCTGTGAAGAGGGTGATGCTGGAGAATGTGGCCAAGAGATGCAGAATGTGGGTTCCAGGAGGTCCCCAGAGGGAAGAGAAAGAGGAGTTGGTTGAGAGCACTCTGGAAAGGATGACTTCATCCTGACAGAGGAGGGTGGGAGGAAAGGTGCTGAGCTGGATTAGCCCAGGCCTTGCCAACATCTCTGCCTGAACCTCAACAGGCCGAACTGGCCTAGATGATGTGGAGGTTCTCAGGGCTTCTCAGTGGTTCAGAATCATATTTTGAAGGAACAAAGATCAAACTCACACCTAAGATGACCAATTCTGATGGGTAACAGAGCCACCCAACTCTGGTGGCCAGAGGGCCAGTGAAATTAATGCCCTGGAAAGGGATTCTGTGACAGTGTTTTAGCCACTCTGCATATCTGGGAGGGACCCTGTGAAGCCCTACTCTTCCCCCAACCAAGAGGCAGAGTGTTTCATCAATCTCAGCCTCACACTTCCTACGCTGGGATATGAATTATTCAGTGGGACTCAGAGTCCCAGAGGTTCCAAAGCCGCATGTGTGGGCATGATACTTGGTCCTGCTGACAGATGGGGTGTGAGTCTGTTTAACCAGGGAGTGTGAGCCCTAAATCCAGGCCTCTGCCTGCCTGTAGATGTCTAGTGGCCACCCCGGGCTCTCCCTCCCCAACCCCAGCCCAACTCCAAACTGCAGTGGTGCCAGCCTCTGCCCACACCTGCTTAGAGACTTTGAGCCATGTCTTTTTGAGGCGGAAGATTGCGCTGCGGTTCATGGAAGAAGTGATCTCCAGCACGGCGTTGTAGTTGTGTAAACAACGGCAGATGTCGGCCACAGCCACCCACTTCTCGATGGCGCTCACCCGTGCACTGATGTCCTCATTACGGATGATTTCAGAAGCAATCAAGTTGCTGATCTTTAAGCCAATGCAATAAAATAGGAAAAAAGTAAGAGGAATAAGTCTTGCTGAGACAATAAATCATTAGTTGTGGCAGACATGATTGCCCGTTTGAAAATTCCTAAAGAGTGGACTGGAGAGTAAATAGGATAGCTGGGTAAAGACTCAACCTATGAAAATAAAAAGTTTTCCTATAAGTTAGCAATAACTAGGCCGAGCTTGGTGGCACATGCCTGTAATCCCAGCACTCGGAAGGCTGAGGCAGGAAGATCACTGTGAGTTTGAGGCCAGCCTGGGCTCCATAGTGAGTTCAAGGCCAGCCTGAACTACACAGTGAGGCCCTGTCTCAAAAAGCAATAACTAATTAGAAAATACAATGAAAAAGAGATTAGCTCCAAAATAAAAATGGGGATTTGTAAATTACCAAGGGATTTAAATTAACAAGAATCATGTAGGATGTTACATGGAAACAAAATTACCAAGAGTGCAAAAGCCTTGAATAATGGAAAAAGAGATAAATTTCCAAATGGGAATGTAAACTTGTTATTTTTCTCATAACAAATACAGAAGTTTAATGTGGCCTAGTTAGGCACCCATGGGAATCCCCTCTAGACCCTGACTGAGGGGTTCTGGGGTTCATGGAAGAAAGCAGTTACTCTGCAAGCTCTGGGAGTCTTCCGCCACACAACTAGCTTGGGTAGGTCATGCACAGGAGAGGAGATTCCCACCGACTCCTGGGCCTGACCACTAACACACCCACGAAACAAGTTGGGTGGATCTGGAGGAGCCCCAGGGGGAGAAGATGGGGCTCAGGGACCTGGAATTGCCAGGAGCTGGTACAGGAGGAAGTACTGACCTCCTTGCACATTTCCTTGCATCTTCCTAAGAATCTATAATTATTATAAAGAAAAAAAAAGACTACTGGTTAGCAGGGCACAGGGGAACATGTCTGTAAGCACAGATGCTCTGGAGACTGAGGCAGAACATTAACAAGTTTAAGGTGCAATCTGGACAATTTAGTGAGACCCTGTCTTGAATAAAATAAAAAGGGCTTGGTGTAGCTCAGTGGTAGAGCACTTGCCTAACACGCACAAGGCCCTGGGTTCAGGCCTCAGCTCAGAGAAAAAAGACTATTTGTTATTTAAAAAGAAAGAAATCCTCTTGAAAACAATGTCTGAAGGATGTACATCAAGAAGAAGGGATTATAGAACAACGTATGTGTGGAGAACTACTTAGGAGAATCAGGAAGGAACACAAAACAGAACATGTATTATATCTCTTAATTAAGTTGAGGTAGTAGTTAAAATATCTTTCCGTCAAGGAAACAAGTGAACTTGGCTGAGGCGTAGCTCAGTGTGCAGTGTGTGCTTCAGGTGTGTGTGGCCCTGGGTTCCACTCCAAGTGCTGATAAGCAAACAAACCAAGCCCCCAAAGGTAAACATGTTCTACTAACTTTTTTTTTTCTTTTTTGGTGCTGTTAATGGGAGCAAAGGCCTTGTGCACATTAAACACATATGCCACCACTAAGCTATATCCCCAGCCCCAGGTTATACTATTTTTTTTTTAAAGAAACGGGTTAGTTATATCTTCCAGAAAAGAGAGAAATAAAGAATACCTGCCAATTTAATCTATGAAGCCAGCATTACCTTGGTACCAACACCAAAGATGGACAAGATAAGGGAGGAAAATCACACACCTGCATGTTTAGGGTACCACTGTGGACTTGGCTCTGGGATATAAGAATCTTTGAATATGAGAAAATGTGCAACTGTCATTTGCCATGTCAAAAGGCTGGCGGAATAAAATCATAAAATGTCAGTATTTGTTCATTGTAAGAACTCTTAGCTCTCAAGGCTTCCTCCATGCAGGAGTACAATGGGTTAAATGGAATGAAGCCTGCCACGTAGTATAGCGAGCACTCACTCTGCTCTGGGTCTCCCACTCAACCCTGGACACATGGAGGCCAGAGGCAGGGAGCGGGCTGAGCCTGGCTGCCTGGTGCCATGCCAGTGCCTGTGAGGTGGGTCAGGCTCACCCGCTCCCAAGGCCCTCCTGTCTGTCTCTCCTGGGATACCTACAGGACTCTGCTTTGCTAGTGTGTTCACAGCAGAGTCACCCAGTGCCCGGGCTGGGAGCCAGCACCGTAGTCCTGGGCTTTCCCCATTCCTCTGGGCTCCGGGGTCCCTCCAGGATGGGGTGTGTTGCAAGTTGTCCCCTGCTAGGGTGACAGCTGGCCCTTCCAGGTGGCTGGACCAAGTGGGACCAACCATCAACCCCCCCTCCAACCACCAGAGGTTCTCGATGGGAGCTGGTGATTAAACTGCAGGAATGAAGGGCTATGAGATCCCCAAGGACTGTCTCGAGGCTACCGTGGGCCAGGGCCTGGTACTTGAAGAAACATGGGGATGCAATCCTGAGAGGTCTTCTCTCACACAGCCACCTCCCCCTATGCTGCCACACAGTCTTGGAGCCCCTTCCGGAGCCTCAAGTGTGAGATGAGCCCGTCTCTGGGCCAGGTGACCGCTGTGCACAGAAAGCACAGTGGTAGGCATGAGGCTAAGCTCAGCCAGGGCAGTCACCACCTTCACTAGAGAACCTGGGAAATGGTCGCTGCAGGTGTGGATCTTGCCTCCTAAGACACTGGGACCTGTCCGGGCCCCCCTTCCTGCTGCTCTCGAGTTTTCCCATTCTGGGAATGTGTGTGTGCAGTGCATACGCATGTGCATGTGTGTGTGGTACATGTGTGCATGTGCGTGCTGCACTCGTGGGAACCCAGTGTCTTAGAGTCAGCTCAGGACCCTTGTGCTGCACCCGTGGGCCACTTTTCTTGCTTTTCTTCCTCAGGAAAACTGGCGTGGGATCTCGGTGGAGGAGGAGGAGGAGGCCGTGGAGCTGGATACCGGGGCAGCCAGGGACACCTAGGAGCTGTCTGCACAAGCCCAGCCTGGCCCTCAGCAGCTCTGGGGGCCCCTGTGTCTTTGGGGTTATCCTGTGGCACCGTCTTACTGTGATAGGTCTGGGGTCCTCTCTAGGGCAAATGATGCTCCTGGCTGGTACACAGGAGGTTCAGAGGTCTCTGGCAAGGCACACATGGGAAAGACGGTACCTGCCTTTGCCAGCTGCACTGTGTGTGTTTCTTTTTTTTTTTGGTACTGGGGATTGAACTCGGGTCCTTGCGCTTGCAAGGCAGGCAGTGGAACCATTGAGCTAAATCCCCAGCCCAAATTATTTACTACTAATAATTTACTCTTATAATGTTTTTTTTTTGGTGTATGTGTGTGGTACTGGGGATCGAACTCTGGGTTCTTGCCCTTGCAGGGCAGGCGGCAGAACCACTGAGCTAAATCCCTGGCCCTCTGTTTGTGTTCTGATACTGAGATGCTGGCTGCACTCTGCTCCTCCTTCCTGTCTTTCCTCCCAGTGCTTCGAGGTGCCTGCTCTGAGGACTGACCCTGCTCTGCCCCACTTACTGAGAGCTACCCTGTCTAGGGGCCTTTGTGTGACTCTTCAGTGTCCCCACTTAACAGACCTATGGGTGCCCAAGGGACTGGCCAGTCTGTTTCCCGCCATCCTGCTCCCCACGTAGGCCCTGCAGACCCTGCCTAGGAAAGGTTGCAGACAGGAAGAGGGAGGGAGGACTACCCACACTCACGTCATTGAAGTGCTTGGTGGTCTTCATGATGTATGGGGTCCTCTCGTTCTTCTCCAGCTTCATCCAGCCCTGTCCGAAGAACTCCCTGCAGGAAGGAGCAGGGCCCAGGCGAATGTGGTCAGGGCTGCTGCCCACTTCATGGCACCCTTGTTTCTTTGCCTTTTGAGGATATAATTTCTGGGGTGTGACCTTCAGGCCCTGGGCTAAAGTGGGTCTCTGCCTTGCACAGGCTGTGAGGTTTTAGGCCTGCTGTGCCCCAGGGCCTTGGTGTCCTGTCTGTAAACTTCCTCAGGGGTCTGCGGGAGACTGATGGGAGATGTGGAATGGCCCAGCGCTGGCTATAAGTTCCAGGAGGGGGCTTTCTTTGTGGTGGGGAAAGCACCGCGTCAGTCACTTTGCAGTGGCTGAGCTATGGATCAGGGAACTACAAGGGCACCCAGAAGAGCAGATGAAAGGGTAAAGGACCTGCTGGCGGGGCAGCAGTGTGCTCCGGTTCTGGCAACTCATGGGAAGCCACAGACTATCAGGCCCTGAGGTGACAAGGTGTTCAGGAGAGGCACCAGGGTGCTCCCCACGGACAGGAGGCACCCAGAGGTAAGCTGGGTGTGGAAACGTAGTCTCCTGTTCCTCCCCACCCAGGGAGTGAGGTTGGGAAGGTAGTGGCAGGTTTCCCAAATGCTGCCCCTTGGCCATTCCAATTCTGGAAGACTATTCCTAAACAATTGTTAGAAATTCAGAGAAATATTTTGCCACAGGGTGTTCACTTCAGCTTTAAACATAAAAGTGAGAACTGAAATCACCTTGTGGTTTAGTAATGCTGTTAGGGAGGACTGTGGATTGTTGAGAGCCAGTCTACACAATTTTTTGGGAAAAATCATTTCATAATTAAAGTGTGACTACAGCTGTCTAGCTCAGTGTCTTCTTGTGTGAGAGCTGGCTATGGCATGCGGAAACATAGCTCTGTTTTGCCTCTAGTCACAAGTTGAGGCCTCAATGGTCCCGAGATACTGTGATGCTCAAGGGCAAGAGTACATCAGCTGAAGACATCCTGGTTCTTTGAGAACGGAGTAGTAATAAAACAAGAGAAAGGGGAAGGACAGATTCCTCCTTAGCCTGCTATCTTGTCTCACTATTGTAAGAATGCTCTCCTTATCGCCCTCATCAACAAAGGATCACCACCACCTTCTGAGTCCTAAGTCACCTGATACTCCCTCCTATTATTGTGTGCACCCAATAAATAATGGCTAGCTTGGAGTGTCTTTGTCTTTGCCCACTATGAGGCACTGACCTCCCAGCCCCCCATGTATCATAAAATTATGTCTTTATTGTCTTTCTTTCTTTAGTCCTCCCGTCCTCCTTTCTAGGCAGATTGGAGGATTGATCGGTCTCTGCTAGTGCACTTATTCAAGTAGTGTTCACAAATATGATATTATGTTTGCACACAAATGAAGAAAGAGGGACACAAAGTTACCTAAAGAGCATGATTACTATGTTGAACTTTTTTTTTTTTGGTACCAGGGATTGAACTTGGGTCCTTGTGCTTGCACAGCAGCCGGTGAAACCACTGAGCTAAATCCCTGGCCCAAGAGCATGATTACTATGAACACAGTGGGGTGGGCAGTGGCTAACTATGGGCCACAAAGGGGAGCACTAGGCTTTGGGGCTCTCTCAACCTCCAGAGCTGTCCCCAAAGTAGCTCCTATGGGCCACAAGTGCACACACACACACTCACACATGCATGCACGTACCCATACATACATGCACACACACTGGTGTGCAAGCATATGTGGATACAGACTCTCTAGACCTTCAGAATAGGAACTCTGAGTTAGAGACACTTCCAGAAGAGTGTGTGTGTGTGCGCACTCACGTAGCTCACTGGTGAGGAGAGAGCTGAGGTGGACCTGGCTGGATAGAGACCTGCAGCTCTGGAGCACAACACCCTGCCTTGGGGATGGGCTGTGGATGTGCTGAGGAGCAGGGCCTGGTGTCTGCATCCACTTACTCGTAAGGAATCTTCCTGAAGACAAGGTGGTCCAGCAGGGTCAGCTGCTCTGCAATCTCCAGGGCTGAGTGGTTCTCAAAGGGCTCGGGCTTCACACCTTCCGCCTGAGGGGCAAGTTCTCGTGTTAGGGCACAGGGTGCCCTTGGCTTTCCGGCCCCTGTGGCTGGGGGGTCCCTGGAGGTTAGGGTGTGATGAGGTAGACGGAGGCAGATACTTGTGCTTCAGGACTACCCTGGCCCTCACTCACCCTGCCCAGGAGCTACCACCACCCTCAGATAAGATGCTGAGGTTCCAGAGGTTAAGGACTGGCTCAGGTGCTCGGCCCAGCAGGCTGATGGAGCCTAGAGCTCAGGGCCTGACTCAGCTGTGATGGGTGGCTTCTTCAGGTCCTGTCAGGGCCCCAGACCAGCCCAGCAGTTTCCTTTGAAACCAATTAGTAGGTGTGGGCTCCAAGGTGCGATGGGCTCCTGGCTCAGGGTACCCGTCTGTCCAGAAGACAGCCACTGGCCTGAGTCCTCAGACACCACGTCAATGGCTACTGACCCTGGAAAGTCACTGTGGATCCATAAGCTAGGGGCCAGTCAGTGGTGCCCATGACAGCGTTCTGGGGAGGAGGACACAGGCCTCCTGGGCAGGATCTAGGAGGGCTGGTGGGAACTGCAGAAGGAGGGAGAGGGTAACTGAGTTGTGTTCACTGAGGGACGGGGCAGGAACAGGGCTTGACACATCCTCAGGGCCAATGGGCCATTCAGGGGTTGAGGGGCCAGGCCACGTGGCAGCTGGCTCAGAGAGGGGACTATCCCCCACTCAGGACTTCTGCTTTCTGTGCTCACCACCCTGCCCAGAGGTCCCAGCAGGGTGGCTGGGTGCCCTGGCAGCCATCTGCACCAATCATGGGGAAATGGGCCCATTCACGCCCAGGGACCTGGCTTTCTGCTGGCCACACGTCCCTGCCCCCTTCTGCATTGTCAGGCCTTTGTGGGACACCAGAGAGACACAGCACTGACAGGAACATCCCTACTTCAGGAAACTCAGGTGCCAGGCACCCGGTCCTGTGAGAGGTGCGACGAGGTACAGGCCACCTGAGTCACGAGGGCAGGGAGCAGAGGCCCAGATCCAGGGCTTGGGTACAGGGGACATGGTGCTCTTGGGAACAGTTCTTAGGATGGCGGAGGGCCATGGGGTGAGGGACTCTGCATGGCTGCAGGCAGGGCATGGACCCCAGGGATCAGGAGGGCTGGGCTCTGCAGCAGACCAGCACCCAGTCACGTCCACGCCGGAGGTCCTGGGCTGAGACGGGGCGGCCCAATGGTCAGGGCTGAGGGTACATCCAGGGGCCAGGAAGGGCACAGAGGGTGGGCAGCCTCTACTCCTTGCTATGACCCAGGGGCAGGGCTCAGAGCTGACAGTTTCCACTACCTCACAGCACAAATCCCCTCTCCTCTGTGGTGAGGCAAGAGGCTGGCTGGCGGCACTTGGTTCTGAAGAGCCTCAGGCTGTCAGCAGAGGGACAGAGGCCCCTCCAGCTCTTGAGTGCAAACACTCCAGCCAGGCCTTGTTGGGAAATGGTCACCATTTCCCCTCCCTTGGGGGAGAGTTTCCTAGTACTTGGCCCAGAGGGTCAGGCCGGAAGAAGCGATGTCCAGGCACCATCAACTTCCTGCCTCAGGGGCTGTGTGGGCCGCAGAGGGCACTGGCCTTGTGGTGCTGCTCAGGGGCTGGGGCATGGGCAGGGCCAGGGTGTTGAGGGTAACGGACAGGGTGTGGGTGTGACCAGACTATGGATGTGGCCAGGGCATGAGCACAGTGGGGGTGGGGGGTGGTCAGGGCCCAGGCATGCTTCTGCTGCTTCATGGATGGCCCCACCTGTACCCTGGTCAGGAGTGGGGACAGGAGGGAAGCAGAGGCCCAGGACTCTGATGCCTCAGTGCACGTCACTGGCCACTTCCATCAGACTTGAGGTCATTCCTCAGCCTTGGGCTGAGCCAGCAGGGCATTGTCTCCCCCTCTGGGGAGGTACAGTAGGCCTGTCTTGAGTATCCCTGGCCACCACGATGCAGTGGGCAGGAGCTTGGGGTGGCCCATGATAGCACTTTGGGGTGGATCCCACTGGCCATGAGGAAAATGGGTCCCTCCAGGCACCACTGTCAGTACATAATCCCCAGTCGGCACAGCTCCCCAGGGCCTATCCTTTCTGGGCAGGTGGTGAACAGGCAGAAAGCAAGTTCATCTATAGCTACAATGCATTCAGCCTCTTGCACAGCAGTTCCTCTAAACCTGCATCCACTAAGCAGCCTCACAACATATGAACAGGCTTCAATACCCAGACACGTTGACTGCAAACCTGCTTGATACTGAACCTGCTGATCTCAAAGGCCTGGACCTTTCAACCCAAGCCCTACGAGCCTCCTGTGAGGTCACACAATGGACCATGTCACCCGGTTCCCACGACACAGGTATTCTTGTGAGACAAACAAGGTTCAAGCTGACCTGAAGGAAACATCCCTAAAACTCTTACAGTAATCACTCTCTACTGTTCCCATGCTGACTTTTCACCCTGGCAGTGTGATATCTTCTTTAGAAACTTGCCTGCTGTTCCTCTGACAGTGTACCCCAATCTAAAACTCTCTTATTTTAAAATTTTTTGGTTTTCTGAGACAGGGTCTCACTATGTAGCTCTGGCTGGCCTTGAACTCGCAGTGATCCTCCTGCCTCCTGCCTGGGTGCTGGGATCACAGGTGTGATCACCACCACGTCTGGCTCCAATCTAAAACTCTGTCTTCATTTACTCTACTCTTGGTAGTCTTTCACTGCCTGAGTCACAGGACCTCTCGACACCATCCCAGCTGGCAGTGAGCAGCACCCGACTCGATGGCTTGAGGCAGGGTGGGGCAGGGAGTGAACCAGGCCTGAGTGTGAACAACAGATGGCCACTGCCACGTTCCATGCACAACCTCATGCACAGAAGTGTTCTATGCCTCAGTGGCCTCATCTGTAAGGTGGGGATAATGACGCATTCTTGCAGGATGTTTGCGAAGAGTATCTGGAGTCTTTAGGAATCTAACGTGGTGCCAGAATGCAGGGACATCTGTCAACTCCCTGTCCTCTTCCTGGGGTGTGACAGAAAGAGCTGAGGGGGGTACAGGGAGCAAGGGAACCTGAATAAAGAAAAGAGATGCACTGGTGAGCTAAGTATTGTTCCCCAGCAAAGACATGCAGAAGTCCCATCCCTGGTGCCTACCAAGGTGACCTTGTTTGGATTGGAGTCTCTGCTGATGTAAAGGTGGCCCTAACCCAATGTGTCTTTAGAAGAAGGGGAAATGTGGGCTGAGCAGGGTGGTACATGCCTGCAATCTCAGCACTCCTGGAGGCTGAGGCAGGAAATTTGCTGAGGATGTACCTCAGTGTGAAGGTCCTGGGTTCAATCCCCAGTACTGCAAAAAAGGAGGGGAGGGATACGAACAGAAACAGACATACACAGAAGCAAGACGCAGGGAGAAAATGGCCACGTGACCACAGAAATGGAGACCAGAGTGACACAGCCACAAGCTAAAGTGTGCCAGGGCCACCAGCGGCTTTCAGAGTCCTCCCTTGGCACCTCCAGAGTGTTAGGGTTAGAGTCAGGCCCTGCCCACACCTTGATTTCAGACTTCCGGCCTCCAGAACCGAGAGGACACATTTCTGTCATTTAAGCCATCCAGTCTGTGGCACTGTGTCATGGCAGCCACAGGATATGAATGCAGGAGGTCGCTGTATGCAGTCAGGGCTCGCGGGTGGGGAGGGCAGCCCTGCTCACCATCTGTGTGATCTCCTCCAGCGTGATCTGGTTGTCGCCTGGGTCCTCCTGGGTCAGAGTCCTGGGGGCAGAAGGCAGGAGAGTCCCCAGATCACCTTGAGGGCAGCACCTCCCAGCCCAGCCAGGTGGATGCCCTGCTGTCTCCCTAGACCTCTGCCCTCCTTTGTACTAACGCCCCTCCTCTTTGTCAACTGTTTCCTGATGGTCCTGTTCCTCCTGAGTGGGGTTCCTCCTGGGCTCCCCAGCCTCTGGGCTTCCTGCACCCTTCCGCACATGTGCCTGGTCCTCAGAGACCTGGGCAGGTTTGTGGCTGTGGCTGTGGCTGGAAGCAGCAGGGACGACTGCACACTTGGTGTAGAAGAGGATTTCCTGTGAGGCCTGGAGGACCAGAGTGGGTATGGGAGAGCCCCAGGCATGGCAATGACCAGAGAGGGGGGAGGAGGGAAAGGCGGCAGCATGGCTGGGGCCTGAAGTGGGCCAACCTGAGAGGAAGGCAAGGAGTGAGGTGGTCAGGCGAGGAGAGTGGGTGCTGAGTGGTGGTGGGGGAGCGAGGCTGGTGCCTCTCCCGATGTGATGGAAGCAGATTCATGCCTGTGAGTTCTGGTGATGGCCAGGAGCCAGGCTGGGCTGTGGAAGGCGAGTCAGCCAGGGTTTCATGTGGGGCAGCAGCCATGGCACTGCAGGGTACTCTGAGTGCAGTCTCGCCCCATTGTACCCCAACGATACACCAGGACAAGCCTCCAGCCCTGGGTGGCCTCACCAGTGTGTTCAGGGGCTCAGATCAGTCGGGGGTGAGTGGAGCGGGCGGGCGGAGAAGCCTGCAGACACTGCACCACCTCAGGCCCGCCTCATTAGCCTCGGGAGCTTGTGGCACTCACAGTTCACAGAGGAAGAAAGGAGGCTCAGAGAGACTCCCCCCGCATGGAGGGAGTCACAGGCCAGGCCAGCTCAGACACCGAGCTGCCGGGACAGGCAGGCTGGGGGCACACAGTTTAACCGAGCTGACCCAGAGCCCTACCAACAGTTTCACCAGTGCTGTGCCCTGAATTCCCTAAGGTGGGGGAGGGGCTGTCTGCTAGGTCCAGCGAGGGTGAGGGTGGGGGAGGATAGCTACTTGCTGCTTGTGTGGCTGCTTGTGAGGACCTGGATTTTAATTTTATTCACTTTTAATGAACACAGATGGAAACGGCCAGCTGTATATAGCTAGTGCCTACCACTCTGGCACACAGGCATCGGCAGCCCTGGGAACGGGGAGTTCAGGGCTGCTGGAGATGGGAAGGAGGGCCACACATGGGACCACCCACCCAAACCCAGGCTCCCCTCCACCCTGAGCCCCCTCTCCCCGCAGAGGATGTCTGGTCGGGGATGGGTCCTCCTCACCCCCCTGGGCCTGGCCAGCCACAGCAGAGGCAGGGGTTGACAGGCTGAGCCCCGTGCAGCCCTGACCTGATGATGTTGGCTGCAGCCTTCCGCTCCTGTGTCAGGAGCTCAGGGTCGTGCATGACCTCTTCCAAGAAACTGATCACCTTGCACTTGAGCTCACTGTTGGTCTCAAAGTCCTGTGAGAAGAAGACAGGCTGGTGGCCCTAGCTGCGGCTATCAGCTGTCTGAAATGGTTGGGGATAGGCTCGAGGAGGGGTTCTATTCTGATCTCTGCCATGGCAGGCTGCCTGCTTTGTCACCCAGCATGGGCACCCTGGGGCACAGTGGGGCTGGGAGACTCTTGGGCACAGGGTATTAGGCAGGGCCCAGAATACCCAGGCCAAGGAGGCACCAGCCCTGTCTCCTTGAGAGACCCCGACCCTCTCCCCTGGGGCTGAGGAGGTCCTTCTGGCTATGCTGGGGGCACCTGGGCTACCACCCACCTGAGCATGCTTGGAGACCCAGTGGCGGAGCACGTTCAGCACGCGGTTGGTGGCCGCTCTTCGGATGACAAATTCCTTGTCTCCGTTCCTCTGGTCAGGGGGGAAGCCTGGTGTGGGGACAGGAAGAGAGGACGTGTGAGGACAAAGCACAGGTCTCACTGGCACGGGGTGCTCCTTGCACTGTGGGGCGAGGGCCACGGGTGGGGCGGATGCAGTAAGACAGAGGAGACAGCCTCCTGGGGGACACAGGCTACAGGCCACCAGTTTCTGCCAGACCTCTCTGTCTTTCTGGGGCTGCGAGATGATGGAGGCAGTGACAGGACCACAGGGGCTGCCCTGAGACCAGAGTGCTGGAGTGGGGGCAGGACAAGGACAGTGGCTTCATGCGCAGTGGCTCTGCTGTGTACAATCTATCCCAGGAGCAGAAGGGTCTCTGGGCGGGGTTAACCTGGCAGGGCCTGCAGGGAGAGAGTCTGGGATGGGCTGGATGGAGGGGAGGGCATGCTGGGTGGCTGGAGCTGGGCACCCTCCTGGGCATGCTAGGCAACTGGGTCAGGGTTTCACCCTATTGGTGGTGGGTGGGGAGAGTGCAGGGCAGGGTGGCTCCAGGTGTGGGGTCCAGGCCTGGGTGGATAGAGCCCCAGCAAGTGCAGAGATGGGGGCTGAGTGTCAGTACCTCCAGGAGCTGAAGGGGGCAAAAGTCCAAATAATGATGTGGGAAGCTCCGTGTCCCGTGAGCAAGAGTGATCGGCTGAAGCAGGGAGCTCTGCAGGGGTCCTAGCAGGTCCCCGCCCGCCACAGGCCCACCGAGGGGCCACGTCGGAAGGACCAGGGAGCAGAGATGCCCGCACACCTGCGCTGGCCAAGGACATCCTCCGGTACTTCTCTTTGTTTGGAGTGCCCTCATTGGCACCCGCGGTTGCTATGGCAAAGGCGGAGGTGGCTGACAGGGCGCTTCGATTATTGTCCAGTTCACGACAGGAGGTCATCACGACTCCATTGTTGTAGGAGAAGAGTGGAAATTCTGTGGATGGGAGGGACCCACCATCAGGTGCTCCTGGTCCCAGCCCCAAAGGCTGGTGGGGAACCAGGCACCCAAGGCCAGCTCTGACTCCAGGCACCAGGCTGGCCAGGTGGCTGGGAGGGAGCTGGGGCCTCTGGGAAGGGTCATGATTCATATCCCCAGGGCTGGCTTGGAAGGGGGTGATCCAGCCACCCTCCTGACTCAGAAGAAAGCCTTCAACTATTCCTCTTGTCCCTCCGTCGCTCCAGCCTCATCATCCTCAGGCCTGAGCTCTCCTGCCTGTGCAGCACCTGGGAATGGACATGGCCCATCCGGCATCTGACATCCACAATGCATCATGGTGCAATGGAGAGAGCACTGCACCGGAAGTCCACTCCTGAGTTTAAAATTCTCTTCCACCCCTCCCTAGCTGTGTGACCTTGGGTAAGTGTCCCAGCCTGTCTGAGTCTCAGTAATCTTTGGATAATACCTACCTCCAAAGATGGGTGTAAAGATTAAAAGAGACAACATGGATGAAAAGCTGTATAAATGCCCAGGAATATCATGGGTAATAAGTCTTTAGTACCAAGTGGTAGAAACTGACTCCAAAAACCTTTAGCTTCATCATGTGAGTCTCTGGAAAGAGACTAAGGCTATAGCAACCAGCAGGTCCTGAGCCGTGAGAACAAACGGTTTAGAGGGTTTCTTCTGAGAGTCATCTCCCCAGCAGGGGCTGTGTGTGTGGACACTGTGGCGTGCTGTGTTGTGCCTGGTCAGCTGCTCTTCAGAAGCCCGGGATTCAGCTGTCCGTGGATGTGGGGCCCAGAGCCTGATGCCCAGGCTCCCAGCAGACCCTGGCATCTAACTCGGTGACTCCAAGAGGGAGACCTGACTGCCTATAAATGCAGCCTCGAATTAAATGACCTCAGAGTGACTCCGCTGCAGTGAGGACTGGGTCTCCCCAGCTGATATCCCCCATGAGCTGGGGCTGGGGAACATCAGGATAGTCTCTCTTGGATCAGAGGTGAGGCCATGCCCTCTCCTTGGCCTGACCCACTACCCCTCCCCACAGGACCGTGGTCTGCACTGTCACACCGGTGAGCTGTACCTGAAGAGTTTTTGCTTTTGACTGATTTTGGTGTTGTTGGAGATTTGGTTGGTGATGTCTCAGTATCGCCCTCATCGCTCTGGTTCTGATCAATATCTGACTCTTCTCTTACGGAGACTTCGGTGGCTGGGAGAAAATTAAAAAAAAAACACAATCTTTTATTTTTCTCAATTATTCATTGATTTGAAAATTCACATCTATAATTATGGAAGCAAAACAGAGGAAGTCGAGGATATTCTGGATGCAGAAAGCCTCACAGCTTTACTGGCCACAGATCTCTGGTACCCTCTCATGTGCTAATGGGCACTGTGAGTCTCCAAGGTGGGTTTTGCTCTGGGGGGGGTCCCAAGCTTCATGGGCACAGCTGGGATCTTGCTGAATGCAGATTCTGGTTCAGTCACTGCCCCCTCCTAGGGCCTGAGAGCTGCAGGGGACACCACACCTTGATGAGTTGCCCCCTCTGTCTTGCAGCACTGTAGGGTCACCACGTGCACACAGTTCCCTTTGTGCTTGTGCTTTGCCTCTGGGTTGGGCGATAAATGATCGTTTTCCTAGTCCTGAGAGACTCGTGGTCTGCACCCTCTGGGAAGGCATATGACCCATGCTGAAAGTCCCTTTCTGGCACAGTGAGTCAAACATTCTACCTGCTCTGAGCCTCAGTTTCCCAACTAGAAAGTGAATGCATTTACACTTGACCACTTTGAAAACCCAACCAAGGGCACAGGTCCTCTTTAAGAATGTCCACACACAGGCACATAATTAGAGGAAGAAGCCTGGTCTCGGGGACTCCTTAGCATGGTCTGGTGTCCTAACACAGCAGCCGGACTCAGGGTAGCTTCTGCTGTATGGAATTCCACGCCCTCTGCTGCCCTCGAGGGCCTGTTTACTATACCCATGGGATGGCATCTGGGGCTCTCTGGTGGCTGTTTCCTTGGTTGCCAGCTTTCAGCTGTGCAAGTCCCATAGTCAGCTATTTGCGGAATGTGACCTGGTGACACAGCCTCTACCCTCGCCCACTGTGTCACTGCTGGAGTGCCCTGGACCTCTGTCTTCTAACTCAGAGAGAAACCCTGGCCATCCTCAAAGTCATTTTCAAAGGCCTCCTCTCAAGGCCAGGGTGCTGGACGTGTGGGCACCCACACTAACCAAGGCCATGCTGGTGGTTCCCAGGCTATGACCTGGTCTGATCTAGGAGAGAACCACACCTGAGCCTTCCAGTGTGGGCAGAAGGAGCTTGAGCGCAGGAGGTCTGGCCTGCCCACATGTGTTCTGGCTGCCTCTGCACCATCTCCTGTCTGCATCGTCTCCAGCCTGTCCCACCACCTTCTGCCTCCACCCAAATCCTCCCCAGCCTGTCCCCACATTATCTTCCACTTGCACCCACATCCTTTCTAGCCTATCCCCATCCAGCATTCCAGGTAGGCCGAGGTTTGAGCCATTCCCTGAACACAATGCTTTTCCTTGTTCTTTAGTCCTTCACACTCCATTTTGTCTGGAATGTTCTCTCTTCCTCCTGGTGAAACTGCAGAGCCTTCTCTGACTCCCAACTCCCTGGGACTCTCTGCCCCCATGCTCTGCGCCCTTGGGTAGCTAACAGAATGTGTATCAGTTCATGTGCCTGAGTCTCCGGATCTGGTCTGGTTCCTCAGCCAGATTGAGAGTCCTGGAGGGCAGGACCTGGCTGGTAACCTTTTGACTCCTGGGTCCTGAATGGGCCTGGCTCGGGACAGGTCTGCTGCAGATCAAGTGAATGCAGGGACTTGGGATGATATGGTTGTCAGGGAGACGGAGGCCCATACTGCTGAGGATGGGTGCTGATACTTATCTAGTTGTGGTGACCCCCTGGGGGCTCTGCCTGGCATACCCTGGTGGCTGGGGTGCCCACACATGGCTCCCTCCCCATCTTCCCCATGCTAGCACTGGCAAGACCCGAGGGACCCCCACGCCCTTCCATCCTGCTGGGAGCCTGAGGTGCAGCGGCCATTGCCTTGGTGACTCTGTGTGCCTGCACAGCCACTCACTCTGCTTGTTGAGGGCTGAGAGCTCTTCAGGTCTCTCTGGGGTTGTTTCACCCTCGTCCGGGATCTTACTGGCGAAGCTGCTGGACACATAGAGCTTGCTGGTGTCCAGTGTAGCCTTGCCGAAAGGTGACATGGCTGAGTACATGCTGGTATAGCCGTTGGAGCTGCAGCTGAGGGCGGCCAGGTCCAGGGCCTTGCCGCCTGTGATGATAGGGATGTTCAGGGACAGCTTCCGCCGGCGGCTGGGTGAGGACGTGCTGATGGACAGGGGTGGCGGGGAGGAGAACTTCCGGGTGGCTCGAGGAGACTTGGGGGGTTCGCCGTACAGGAGCTTGTTGTTCTGGCCGCTAGCAAACAGGAGCTCCAGGGACCTGGGCGAGCCAAGGCGAAACGGGTGACTGAGGCTGGGGCCTGGTGGGTATCAAGAGTGATGCTCCCACATTCTCATGGTCCCCGAGTTTGGGACTGGTCCTCCGAGCACGGAGCCTGTAGTGAAGGGCTCAGGGCCACATGTTCACATATGCAGGGACCTGCTTGTGGTGGCCCGGGCAGGGGACCCTCTTTGGGCTCTCTCCTCTGCTGCTCTCTGGCTTGGGGTGCTGATCTCACACCAGGCTGCTCTGTCCCCATCCTCACAAGGGTCCCCAGGGCGCCTTATGATGAGGAATCTGAGGCTCAGGGACGGGGAAGGACTCATCTGATGACTCTGAGCCCAGCATCCGCTGAATGACACTTGAGGGGCCTCAGTGGTAGCTCTGGGGTGGGGTGGGTGGAAAGCTGGGCCCAGGACCCTGAGTTCAAATCCCCACTCAGCCAAAGACCTTGGGGTCCTGGGCTGAGTCTCTTGGTCTTTCAGGGCCCTTGTGTTAACAGCATTGCTGAGCGGCACTGGTCAGACAGGAAGCCAAGGCTATGTGCCCTGCCCTCTGCATGCTCTACCCCTAGCTATGCCAAGAAGGGCTTGCTCTTTCCTCCTAAAGCAGGGTGGGGCAAACTTTCCTCCCTTCCTTCACCATCAGCACAGGGCCCTGGCTGTCCCAGAGGGGTTGAAAATATGAGGAGAAGGAGCCATGTGTGCCAGGACCCTCCAGGGGCAGAGGAGGGAAGGGAGCACAGAGCTGCCTGGGAAGGACTCCAGGTCTCGAAGGGCTCTGGAACCCAAACATGCCCTGCCTGGTGCTCTGCAGCTAAGCACTGTCCCCACTCACAGGCAGCCTCTCTGGCCTGGAGGCTGAGGCTCCAGAGTGCCCACCTGGCAGGGATTGCACTGATGGGCCTTCTGTAGATGGCGATGAGCTTGTCCAGGACCACGACGGCAGAGGTGAAGACGCGGTAGGAGTGCAGGAAGGTGTTAAGGAAGTCGATGCTCAGGAAGCGGAGGTCAGTGAGCCGCTCCAGCAGCCTCTCGACGCTGGCGTACCTGATCTGCAGCACTTTGCAGGAGTTCATGGTCTTGCTGAAGCGAATGTCAACGTCATCACAGTACAGGGAGGCATCAGACCTGAGGAGAAGGACAAAGAGGGACAAGGTTCTGAGATGCGAGGCCCCAATGTCTGTCTCTCATACCCCACAGGGAGCTCCCAGGGTCTTGACATGAGTCCCTGTCCCCACTGGAACCCATAGCCAAGGACTGTTCTTCCATCATGATAAGGGAAGCTCAGGATGTCATCAAGGAAGGCCTGCATCCCCTTTCCATGCAGCAGAAAAGTATTCAGCCATTAAAAGGAATGAAGCCCCGATCCATATACAACATGGATGAACCTCAAGGACCTATGCTCACGACAGAGGCTGGTGAGACCACAGAGGCCACAGTTCTGTACATAAATGTCCAGGGCAGGAGATCTAGCATGGGAAGACTGGGCATTGCTGAGGGAAAGAGAGAAGGAATTAGACAGTGGCAACATGTCTGGTGAGAATGGTTTTCTACTTCTGCACGTAGAAGCTTGTAGGGCAAAAGGCCCACAGTGGACAAAGCCTTCTGTGAGGAGTTTAATCTTATTCATGATGGAGGAGCCCTCATCGCCTGACACCCACCACCCTAAGGCCCTACTTCTTAGTATAACAGAACTGGTAACACCTGAATTTTGGAAAGGCCATATCTATACCATGGCAGAGCTGTGAAAATAGTTGAAGAAGTAATGGCCCAAACCCTCCCAAATTAGATTAAAATCATCGATATGAATATCCAAGTATCTCCATGGCTTCCAAGGAGGAGACACAGAGACCCACTCCAAGGTACAACACAGTCAAACTCCAGCAAGACAACAGGGTGAGTGCTGAGAGCAGGGAGAAACAAGGGTGGTACAGGCAGCTCACAGCATGATTAGGAGCTGACTTCTCATCAGAATCCACGGACACAGTGGGACAACAGATTTAAAGTGCTGGAAGAGACCCCCACCAGCACAGAGGAGGTGAGCCGCGCAGGCTCCAGCAGCACCCCCTGCCCCTGTCGAAATGAGAAGAGAAGTAAACAAGTCTCAAAACCACACTTGCAGATCACCTACAGCAACCCCAAAGGGAAATGAGATGGAACACTCTGATACTCAACCACCTGGACTCCCTGAACTGTCAATAAAAGAGAATCTGGAAAAAATAAAATCAGAAATGATTTCTCAGATAACAGCAGAGATTGTGCTCATAGTGCAAGACATGATTAATAAATCTAGAGAGGAGCTGAGGAACATGATGGAATCCCAACATAGGAAACAAATGGAATCCACAAAACA